CTACAAATTGCGGCAGAATTGTGCGATTTTGACGCAAACTGTGTAATTCCGTGCAAATGACCTCAACTAAGCTTCTCTTGAACCTGAATGATGTTTACCATATCTTGATAATCATCCAAGCTTCGATTTGCTTGTTGTATGTTGTTTTCAACCCAGATCTGCTCAATAAGGCCATTTAAAGCTTCACGCATCTTCTTAGCTCTAGCTCGCGTGACTGGACCTCCTTGGGTGTGTAATGGATCACATGACGTAGTAGATATGCTGTCGTCTTGATTCCCATCAAGATCTAGCACCTCAAGTAACTAGAACTAATTAATAGAATTAATCAATAGTGGGGATCAAGATCCTTAGAAATTAATAACGCATTTATTAGGTAGCAAAACAGGAATCTAAGCAAGTAGGGGAAAAGAGCCATTCCTCTAAAACCGAACTCTAAAGCACCAGGTAACACGATGAAAACCTACTTAAGGTGTAGTCCATGGAGGCAAGATATTTCTACAATCAAGCCATCTCTAGAATCAAGTCAAACCAGAGATATCAAGACATAATATCCACATTAAGCTATCTATCCACAACAAAATAGGGATACTTCAAAATACATCCCTAGGAATCATCACCTCACCTAGGGAGGTGCCCATATGAAGCTCAAAATCAAGAAAATCAACAGGTATAGATACCACGAAATAAGAACCAGGGCATGATTCAAAGTCTGAGATGTAACAGATTTCAAAACAATTTGCAGGAATAGAAACAAGTTTAGGAACAAATTCCAACAATAATATCAATTGATTTTCAAGAATAAGATGTTAACATGAATTTTTTTCAAGTAAGGTTCAAGAGCTGATTCCAAGTGTGATTGCAAGGAACAATTTCAAACAAGTCTCAAGATAATAAGGATTTCAACAGTCATAATTCATATTTGGATTTTAGTACTCAAGAACCAGTACTCAAGAAAGGGTTCAAGACAGATTTCAAGAGTCTCATAAGCAATTAGGATAGATATCAAGACTTCCATCAATAAATTTCTGATGGGAATCAAGACAACAACATATCTACTACGTCATGTGATCCGTTACACAGCCAAGGAGGTCCAGTCACGCGAGCTAGGGCTAAGAAGATGTGTGAAGCTTTAAATGGCCTTATTGAGCAGATCTGGGTTGAAAACAACATACAACAAGCAAATCGAAGCTTGGATGATTATCAAGGCATGGAATTACACAGTTTGCGTCAAAATCGCACAATTCTGCCGCAACTTATAGCAAACTGATATTTCGTGTTATTTTAGGTTATTTTTAGTGATTGTCACGTTTTTTGTATTATTTTTGGGCTGAACATTTGCTTATTTGAAGCCCAATTCATGGTTATTAGGTTTAGGCCTTAGGGTGTTAATTTCCTATTCTGATTAGGATTTGTTTTCTCTATTTAAAGGGCTTGTAACCCTAATGGGGGAGAATTATTGAATCTGAGTTTTTGAGAGACTTTTCTCTTTGGTTCGTTTCAGAACTTTACAGGACTTATCAAGATTATTCTTGTGGCGTTCTAACCTGACTTATCATTCTTGTTCTTAATCGTTCAAGGGTGTGGCGTCAACCAACTTTATACCTCTGGTTCTTGTTGCGTCATAGACAACGGGTCAAGGTTTTTACCTTTGGTTCTTGTTGCGACATAAACAACGGGTCAAGGTCCTATCATAAACCTGATTTAGCTTTCCTGGAGTTTACAAATCCCTTGTCGTGCGGTGGGTCTCATTGTTCTCTTTGGGGTTCTCATCAATTTCTATTCAAGTAACAAGTCCAAACAAGTGTAGAATATCACAAAGGACCAAGTTTCAAAACACGATTTTAAGAGCGTAGTGAGCAAGATTAATTTCAAGATTCTACATCATGTCAAGGATGGGTAATGAGAACTAATAAGAATACCATCTAGTCAAAACTAGATTAGGAAAATTTATGAAATAAGAATCCGAATCGTCCCTTGTATAACCCCATCACTCGTCTCACCATGGTCCTAAAATCCATTTCATCTTAGGATTTTAATTAGCCCTGGGTATCTTGTAAAACTTGGCTCTGATATCACAAAATCTGTCACACCCCAAAACTGGGAGCAAGACAGACGCCATACACTTGTGAAAGGATCCCATAAATGCACAAGGCTCAGAACTTATGTATTCATATCTAGCAATCCACTAACTAAGATCCAAATCTTGAAATAAAATCTGGCTTTCAAAAGAATGATTTAAATCCCAAAAACTATATCTAAAAATAATTCGTCAAGCAAACCTAATTACAAAATAATCAAAGTGCAATTATATGAGGCTAGGCTTCTAACTTGTCACTCCCCTTAGTTTATGTATTTCTAGTCTCGCTACCTGAAATGGTGGACGAGGAAAAACTATGTAAGATAACTTAGTAAGTCAAAATATGGATAGCCTTCATTGGAATTTAAAGCATGCCAAACAAACATTCAAAAATTAAATAGGAAGAAAATCTCAATTATAAATGATTAATGCAAAGTAAAACTCAATAGTGGTCCCCTCAATTAGTTATGGCCAGTGTATGAAACTTGCTAGATAACAGAAATACCAGTGTACTCTCCCACTGGCTGAATGAACCGACTCTACAAAATACATGTTGACATATGCCAGCATTTAACTCCCACTGGCAAGATAACAGAATTCATGACCATATTGGAGACAAAACCATGCAGGAGTTAACAAGAAAATTCATAATTTACAAACCAATTTCAGATTATCAGACTAGTTCAGTAAACTCCAAGTAGGCATGTTCAAATCAATAAATGATAACAACTTCATTTTAAACTAATCATACTCGTTTTTGTGTAAAACAGGTTTAGTTCCACCACCACTTCAAAAACAATTCAAAATTATGCTTTTAAAACCTTTACCTTAAAATCCAAGGGCATTTACCATAGTTTTACTTACCTCACCTTGTAGGTATACAATAAGCAAGGAATTCAAGAACTAAAGGCTGTTGAGATGATTTCAAACCTATACCCCATCAAATGAATAAACAGATTACAACATACTCCATTTAACTAATTTGGTTCTAAATTCCAAAATCAAAATCCTAACCAAAGAACAACTTCCTCCTACACCTCCTAGTCACCTCTATTTTTAATCATACTTAGAGTAGGCTTAAAATAGCTCCAGATATCACATGAACAATAGGTACTCCAAGCAGATTTCTGGATACAATAAAGTGTACAAATAGTGAGAAATTGAGCTCTTAGCTATCCTAATTGCAGCAGAAAAATTGGGCCGCAGAGTGGGGGGTTTTTGCAATTTAAAGAGTCCCAAAAGGCTTGGAAAAAGCCCTAAACAATAAGGATTTTCTGGGCAAAAATAGTAGTGGAAACTGATGTAAATCCAGGTTTGACTTTAAAGGATTCAATTCAAGTTCCTGTTGAACCAGTTACAAGGGCTCAAGCTAAGAAGTTCAAGGAAGTGCTTAACGGGCTGATTCAAGAAATATGGACTCAAGCAAATTCGTGGAGGCCCATTGAGGGAAGCCCATGTGAGCCTCAGAATTACATCAGCCTAATCCAAGTTCTAGAAGACTGTCAAAGCCAAGCCTAATCTTTGCAAGTAATGGTTATGAACTTTGGGCATGAACTCAGCAAGCGTTCTAGCTCAAATTTATTACTTTCCTTTTTTGGTTTTGGCTTGCATGCCTAGTTTTTCTTTCTTGGGTTAAATTACACAGTTTGCGTCAAATCTGTCACAGTGGCTGCAATCTAACATTTCACAATGTTCTTAGGTTATTTTAGCTTATTTTTACATTGGTTATGTTATTTGGGCTAAACATTCATTTAGTTGAAGCCCAAATTCGTGGTTATTAGGGTTAAGACCTGTTTTGTTAGTTTCCTATTCTGGTTAGGATTAATTTTAGCTATTTATAGGGCTGCAACCTTAATTGTAAAAGAGACGATTATTTATCAACATTGTGAGAACGAATTCTCTCTGGTTCTTTGAACAACTTTTCGAACTTATCAGAATTATCCATGGCTTTCATTCTCGACTTATCAATCAACCCTTCCATAGTTGATTGTGGTGTCTTCTCCATACCAAGGTTCTTACCTTGTCATAGGTTACAGGTTGCGGTTTCATCCTCTCGAACTTGTCTCGGAAACGGTCTTGGTGCCTTGTCTTGTTTACGGGTTTTGTCATAGGTAGTGCAATTCGTATCAGTTTGGTATCAGAGCACATGCTCTAAATCAGGTTTGCATATCTTTAATTTTTAGTTTTTATCGTCAAAAACAAAATTAAAAAAAAATTCAGTGTCATTCTTCTCTTTCTTATTTTGCTTTTCTAAATTTGTGTTGCTTATTTACAAAAGAAACAGAGAGGAAAGCACGAAAATAAGGAAAAAAAAAAAAGAAGAGGAAGAAGTCGTACAAAAAAAAAGGAAAAAAAAAAAAGGAGAGAGAGGAAGTAAGCAACACAATTCAGTGGCTGGAATTCCTTATATAAAGAAGAAATCTGTGGCCAAATCCTTAAAGAAGAAGGAATCCTACTACAATAAGGAATTGGAAATTCTCCTTGAGTTCTATTCAAATTAAGAGATAACAGTTTTGTTTGTTTTTTCTTCAGGTTAGGAATCCTACTGTCTTAAGGATTTGTCAGTCCAATTCCTACTAGGAATAGTCAAACTGATCTGTCTTTCGTGCTCTTTTTTTTTTTTATTGTTTCGTTCAATTGTTCTAATATCCAGGAGTCCTAATCTGACTTTACCCCAAAGTGCACTTTTCTGTGAATCCCAAAATCTGGTCGGTACATGTTCATAGCCGTCTTCCTTTTAAAACTCAAATTTTGGTTGGTAAGTTTCTGGTGAATTGCTACTGGAATTTTGAACATTGCTTGATTAGTATGAAAAGAACTGAAAGAAAATTCACGAGTGGAAAAAAAAGGCAAGAGTAGTGAGCATATTAGAGGGTAAAAGGCAAATTCAGTGAAACACGAGCGAAATTGAGTGATACATACTGTGAGGGAGTGTGGTGAGGTCCTTTCCATATTGTTTCTAACCCCATTTTGCAGATTCCAAGCATGTCATGCAACCAAGAAGAAAACTTGAGTGAAGAACTTCCACGACAAACCCTTCCAAACCTACAGGTGCAGGCGATATTGGGAGAGGTCCTGCAGATGGTGAATAGGTTAATTGAACCCATGCAAGAGCAATTGGAAACGTTGCAATTGGAGAATAGGAGGCAGCAATGAAATTCTCCCACTCGACCACCACCTAGGCAGGTGCAGCAAAGAGAACATTGGGGGGACATAGAAGAAAAAGAGGAGTTGGAAGAGTTGAATGAGCCACCACTGAACCGAGGTAGGTTTAGGCATGGGAATGGGAATAGAGAAGTTAGGAATCAGGAGGACAATAGTTTGGGCAGCATCAAGATGAAGATTCTGCCATTCCAAGGAAAAGCAGATCCGGAAGCCTATCTTCAGTGGGAAAGGAAGGTGGAGTTGGTCTTCGATTGCCACAATTATTCCGAGCTTATGATGAGAACCCCAAAGAGAACAATGAGACCCACAGCACGACAAGGGATTTCTAAACTCTAGGAAAGCTAAATCAGATTTATAATAGGACCTTGACAAAGAGAAAAGTTCTGTAAGGTTCT